ACCACCTCAACTGACTCCTTTCAATCCGGAGCAGCAACGGCTCTACTCCGAGTCCCTCCCGAATGCATGAAAAGTGCTTTATAAATAAAGTTTGATTTGATATTAAACTGCTGCGTTTTATTTAAGCTGATCAAAGGTTTTGCATAATTAGAAAGCCCAGAGGTCTCAGAAGCAGAACTTCTGATATGTTTCTGATCTTTTAGGAGATTCCTTCCTTGTCCTCAACAGCACCATGGGCGATCCAACAACCGTTTTTCTACACAAACACCACCTCCACCTTTCCTCTCAGGTCCCTCTGTTGTGACTGATGTCTTTTCCATCCTGCTGCCTTCTCTCAATTAAGAGGAAAAACCACCAATCCCTTTGACCTTTAGCTCGACTGGTCTGTTTCCACTAAACACACAAGTGCTACCTTTCCTATTTTAGTCAAATCCTCCTCCGTGTCGTCAGACTTTTAAAGGCTCGTCTGGTTTCCTGCCCTCTCGTCCTGACGTTCGTAAAAACGCAAACCTGCTAATAACAGCGCCTGAAAGCGACCTTTCAACACGCTTAAATCTACTCTGAACTTCTGCAGGAACTAATTCATCAGCACATTCCTTTAAAGGACAAACAAACACAAAGTGAAGCTTCAGAGTTTATTTTAAATCACAACGTTCGTATTTATATGAAAACAGTCAAAATGAACATAGAAACTTGACGATCCAGGTTCCTCCTATCAGAACTCATCCAGGTTGCTCCTGCAGTTCCGTAGATGCTGGAGGGACCCGAGCACCTCCTCCGTGGGCCTCCTGCCCAGCTGTTTCCCCGCCCTGCTCCTGACACTCACCGTCCCGCTCTCACACTCCTTATCGCCCACCACTACAGAAAAGTAAAAGTTACGTTCAGAAATGTAAACGTCAGCAGAAGAGCGCATTAATGGAAAACACTCCACTGCTCCAGCGTGTCTTCTTTACCAAATATGTAGTTGTACTGGGCCAACTGAGCGGAGCGGATCTTCTTATTTAAGGTTGCACCCGGATCTACATCCAGATCAACCACGAAGCCGGCGTCACAGAACTGCTGGGCCACCTTAAGGAGAGATGGAGGTGCTTACATGGAAGATTTTATCTTTGAAGCTTTTAAAAGTCACAAATTCATCATGTCATGAGAAAAAAAAAAACCCTGTTGGTGGCTCTGCAGCTGACTGACCTGTCTGCCATATGACTCACTGCTGCCCCCTACAGGGATCACCGATATCTGAGCCGGAGACAGCCACAGGGGCCTGGAGAGGGGTTAAAGCAAAACAAGGTAAGTGGTGAGTTTGAGGACAGCAGTGATGTCATAAAATCCTCTCGTTACCATTTTCCTCCAAAGTTTTCGGCCAGGATGGCGATCATTCTCTCCAGTGATCCCAGTACAGCTCTGTGGATCATCACTGGTCGGTGCTTCTGTCCATCTCGCCTGAGGGAAAGGATTTTTTAGAAGCAGCTATAAACTATTTAGAGCTGAAAGACACAAACATTGGACTTTAAACACAAATGCACGAGGGTGCACGTGCGGGCTTAAACCAGGACCGATGTAGACCCGACTCACCCCAAGTACTGGAGGTCGAATCGGATGGGCAGCTGGAAGTCCAGCTGGATTGTGGCACACTGGTGTTGCCGGCCGATTGCATCTTTAATCAGGATGTCGATCTGAGGTGGAACAGAGAAATGAGACACATCTGGAGTCGAGAACATCTCAGCTGATGAAGACCTCAAAGTTCAAATCTCAGACAATCCGAATCTTCTGAAAAGGTTGAATATTCTGGACTCAAAGTGTCAGCTACTGAACCCAGAAGACCTGCAGAGGGTTCCTGAGCCTTTAGATGGTCTCTCAGTCTGAGCTGGATTACTGACATAAACAGACTTTTGCACCATAACCTCCCTTTTAACTCATTCACTGCCAATGACGATTAAAGTCGTCATGTGCATGTTTTTACTGCGTGGGCGTCGGACGAGCCCCCGCACCGTGAGAACAAACATCTCAGCTCTAAAGCCGATCTTCATCCGCGTACGTCACACGTCACGTGATCAGGAAGCAGAACATCCATGTGTTAGGAGATCTTTTTGGGCCGCTGCTGTAAAAAAGGTGAGGCGCGAACCGGAAAAGCGTCTGCCGATCACAATTCAACAACGGATTATGGAAGAATGGATAACGCTCGAAACGCGCGGATTCTTCCTGATGTAAGTGGTGAGTCTGAACTTTGTTTTGGTAGTTTTGGTGTCGACATCTTCCTAGCGCGCAACGTTCTGTCACTCTTTAAAAAAAAAACTGTAAAAATGGCGAGAAAAGCTGGCGGCGAATGCGTTAAAGATCTTGCAGAAGCCCTCGGTGTTCTGCAGAACCACGGCTGTTCAACAACAACAGTACATTTAGACTTCTGACTGGCTGAATTATTTTTATTCACTTTACAATTCTGTGCTTTTAGGTTATTAAACACGGTTGGAGAGGAAATCCAGAATTCAGAAAAAATGAAAACAGAAGAATTCGATCTAGTATTGCTGTCGAAGAACGAATGGATACCCACAGATGTTTGATACTTGGTTACCTGTAACATAATCCTCAACATATTCAGGAATATCAAGGTATTTTTGAGCCCCATCACCGAGTCCTATTGTGACATCACAAAAAGGGAACTTTTGAAATGACTCGTGGAAATATCTGAATACTGAAAACAAACAGAAACAGAAAACGGACGGACGGGTTTTTAGTCACATTTGGAGCTTAACTAGGCCGCAGCGGCCCACAGTGCAGCACGAAAGGATGCAAAGGTCAGATCCACCTCCTTCTGAGGACATCAAACAAACTAAGTGACTGTTTCAGCTGTAAAGCTATTTTACTGGAAAACATTGTGACAAAAATGCAACAACCATCCAATTTTCATCAACTAACAACTTTCAAAAATATAACCTACAAAGTTTGTCCATCTGTGGAAGCCCCGCCCACTGACCTTTGGTCCGTAGAACGCTCCGTCTCCAGGATTCAGCTCCCAGCGTTCACCAAACTGCTGCAGACTGTTCTCCAACTGCTGCTCACACACACACACACACACACACACACACACACACACACACACACACACACACACACACACACACACACACACACACACACACACACACACACACACACACTCAGCCTCAACTGTGCTTATTTAAAGAGCATCCTTGTGATTTTATAGACTCTAAACAGGACAGAACCACTCGTGGAGCTGGCTGGTTAAGTGGAAAAGATTAGTTTCTTCTGTTCCAGCGTCACACACACACACACGCACACACACACACACACACGACTGAAGATGTGTGTTTACCTGCTCGGCGTCATCCCACTGCTCAGGATCTCCGAGGCATGGCGTGGGACGAGTGGAGAGCAGGCAGTGGAAGGAAAACCCAAACACTCGATAGACGCTCCGCACAAAGTCCAAACAAGCCACAATCTCCTCCTCCAGCTGGGGCAGAAGGAACGACTCGAGTCAAGGGAACGCTTTGAATAATCAGCCAGGCTGAACGTTTAAATTCCAGTTAGAGATAAAAAGCGTCTCTGGGATTGAATCAGTGCTGTGATCTTCGGATTACTACGGCGTAAACAGAGGAACTGGAGACCTGACACCGCAGGAATGTTTCAGGGCTCCGTGTGGGGGGTGAGGGTGACGGCGCGGCTGCAGGAGCAACACGTATCATGTTTGAGCGGGACAAAGACCTGCATTCATCTGGGCCGAGGCCTCCTGGAACAGTTGTGCACCGAGCCACATGTGATCCGTTTTATCAGAAATCAGCCTGGTTTTAAATGCTCTACCTGCTCAGGGGCACAAAAGATATGAGCGTCGTCCTGGCAGAACCTTCGGACCCGAGTCAGACCTCCCAGAGCTCCGGAGAGCTCGTTCCGATGCAGCGCTCCGAAGTCGGCCCATCGCAGAGGAAGCTCCCGCCACGAGCGAACTCGATGCTCAAACATGAGACTGAAAACAAAAACGATGAGTGGATTTCTGTGAGGATCCAGCTCTGAGTGTGTGTGTGTGTGTGTGTGTGTGTGTGTGTGTGTGTTTACCAGTGAGCAGGACAGTTCATGGGCTTTAGAGCGTGTGTGAGAGAGCCCTCTGATGTCACGGTGAACATGTTCTTGCCGTAGTGCTCCCAGTGGCCCGAGCGCTCCCACAGCGCCGTGCTGAACAGAGTTGGGGTCACGACCTCGGAGAAGCCTCGCCTTCGGTATTCGCTCTGCGAGAGGTCGGGAAGGAAGGATGTGAGCAACAATGAGCCCACGAGCGGGTCAGGCTGCGACAGCGGGGTCATTATTAAACATCCCGATGGCCGACTCGTAAATCATCAGAGGTCACGACCCCAGCGGAAAGCGCTCGTGTGTGTTCACGTTTCAGTTGCGGGTCTGCTTACAGGAACGTTTGTTAACGAAAGTAAAAAACAGCTTCCAGTTTAAGCTGACCTTCCAAATCCAACAGAGTCAATAAACTGTTTTATTTTATTATTCAATAAAAAGGACGAAATCCCGAAGAGCCTCTCTTTTAGATCGTTTTAAATGTGACCTTCATCCACCAACATGAACACAAACACACTTATTTATTTACATATAGCACTTAATCATGCAACTCAAAGTACTTAACAAATTAAAAAAGGCCCCGCATACCCACATTCCCTCCCACCCCCAGATGAGCCAGACCAGCTAAGACAAGGATAAGGAAACGCTATCAGGGGAGCCATCCGCCCCGACAGCAGCAGCCGAGGCACCGACACAGGGCGCCCAGGGCAGGGAGGGCGGAGACCCCCACCTCCACCCAGGCACACCGGGAAAGCACCCAGGCCGCCACAGCCGACCACCGCCGCCGGGGCAGAGGGCTCCCACAGAGGAAGCACCGGAAAAAGGTTCAATTAAGGTTAAAATATAAAATCATAAGAGCTAAAATGAGAATATAGGGGTCTCTAGGGGCATTTGTGACATTTAAAGGTCTCTAATAAAACTTTCCACCATCTTAACTCTTTTCCTTTACGTTTTACTGCACCTACTGAAAATAATCAACGGGAAAAGAGTTTAGAATAAACTTGGAGGTGGTTGGAGGCCATCCATCCTCCATTTGTGCCGGTTAAAAAGGTGATGGGCTGTAGCTGGGATCTAGAATGACTTCTAATGGAACTGGGATGTTGGATCACTTCTCTTTAAACACGCGGCCATGGAGTCACAAGAACAAACTGAATTCGATCCAACCGACTGATTCTGAAACGTCTGATTCTTTGAGAAGGCAACAAACACAAAGAATGAAAAATCTAACGGCAGGTTCTTATTGAGGTGAAGCATAAACACGATTTAAAGGTTAAATGTGTCCGTTTGTGCTTTAATCTGAGCTTCCGAGAGCAGAAAAGTCGAGCTGACCTTGATGAACTCCATCAGGGTGTTGTAGATGTGGGCTCCTTTAGGCAGGAAGAAGCAGCTGCCTGGGCTGACCTCGTTAAAGAAGAACAGCTCCTGGTCCTGAACATTAAAGACGCCATTTTTAATAGTCGTGTTTTCCTGCACACATTCACGTTTTACTTGTTCTTCTTCACATCTGACCATTCCAATACGCCTGTGGTCTCTCCTCCTCGCCGCCTCCTGCTCCCTCTCCCACGCCTCCCTGTCCCTCTCTGCTGGAAACGCCACCCCCATCAGGCGCGTTAGGCCCGAGGACTCCGTCTGATTGGCCAGGGTGATGGGGGACAGCTGGGGTGATGCAGAAGAGAGAGAACGGTGAACCACAACAGTGATCTCCATCAGAGGGACGACAGTGAGCCAGCAGGGGACTGGAAAAGAAGCATCACATCCCGTCACGGTTTCCAGCCCCATGCTGTCGTGGAATTCCAGTCTGCCCAGTGCCAGCCCAGTATGGAACCGGCTACCTGGGTCAGCGGTGGAACGGAAAATTCCAATTATCTTTTTTCCAGCTGATTTGGGGATTTTACTCAGCCTGTTGGATCATCAAACTTGATGAAAACGTCGGAGCTAATGTCCATCCACCGATCCCGGAGCCAACGTCAAATAAAAGGCTAACCCCGGCTTTCCACCGGAGCCGCCAGCAGCACGTTACTGCAGCAGCACGTCATAGCTGCTGATAGGAACCGCTGTGGTCAACAGAACCTTTTCCACCGGAGCCGTCAGCAGCGCGAGTCGGCCGCGTCTCAGGAGCAGCATGTCGCGGCCTTTACGCGCCGGTTCTATTTTCTACGCGCGACGCCTCTGAAACGGGTCAAGTTCGACATTTTTGGGGAAGGAAAGACAGGAAATCGGACGCGGAAATGGAGAGAAGCTCCCGAGATTTTCAGAATAAAGAACGTACTGCCTTCCGGTTGCTTTACTTTTAAAAAAAGGTTACTAACTGTGCGGCCCCGTGAGAAGTTATCACCTAGCTAGCGGTCTCCTTTGTTTTTCAGGTCCGTATTGGCGATTATAGAACGGACAGAACATAAAACACAAACCATGTTGTAGTTTTCTCCTGCTTGTTGTTGTGTTTACTGACAAAGTCACTTGTGTGACTTCGTGCTCGGTCGGTGACAGCTGCTCCCCTGCTGCTTCGCGTCTCGTGGGAAGGGCCGAGCAGCAGCTTACGCGAGCAAGACGTGCTGCTGCAGTAACGTGCTGCTGACGGCTCCCGTGGAAAGCTGGGGTTACGCACAGGTCAGCGCAACACACCTGCAGCATCCTGAAGACCTTGAGGAAGCCTGTGTGTGGGAGGAGGGGGCCACGGCACACCGACACACTGTCCCCACACCTGAGTCACACAAAGACGAGAGCAGGTTTGCTACAGAAATGCTAATCGACAGGAAGAGTGTGTGTTTTTACACACCTGTACACTGTGACAGAGGAGCCGCTCATCTCCTCTTCGACAAGCTGCAGCCTGAGCTTACTGTCCTTCACAGCAAAGACAGTCAGGAGTTTTCTCATTGGTTTCATTAGCATTCGTAACAGCGGTGAGTAGTAATGAGCTCAGAGCTGCTTTATGTGGATGATACTTTAAACCCTAACCCGCACACACACACACACACACACATGCACGCGCGCACCGACCTGGAAGAGTTCTCCGAGCTCCTCTGAGTTCAGCTCTAATCTGAAGAAAGGAAGTCTGAGCGCTGCAGCCTCTCGACACTTTTCCTCCACTTCACTCAGAGAAAAATGACTGTTGGTAAAAAAACAAAACAAACATTCAAAGCCAACATCTGGAAAACATGTGGTGGCGCGACAGGACACGGGGCAAGAGGCTGCAGTGAAAAATAAAGGTTCTTACTGTCTGACCTCCACCTGCTCTGTTCAAATGTTTTTATCCATACGAGAAAAATGTGTTTTTATGAGAAAAAGCAGAACGTTTCACCTGTTGTTCAGCACGTGGTCGCAGTAAAGTCCAAATTCTGACGCTCCTTCTCTGCAGACCTCTGAACCAAACACACCCTCCAACACACCGCTGAGGACACACGCTCCTGTCCTCCAAGCTGCCTGGAGACCGGGGTTGTTACAGAACAAATACGGGTTAACGTTCCAGAGAGAACACGGGCCAAAACAAGCCTCCGGAGGAAATGGTTACCAGAAAAGGCTCCATTTGACCCGAGAACATGTTAGCCAGTCACTCTTAGGTATTTCATTATAAGACTAAAACAAACAAAACTTTAATTCGAAGTTTTTTAAATATTATAGACTGAAGGTGTAGATGAGATGCAGATTAGATTAATTACCTGTTTTCCCTCAACTGTATCAAACCCCAGAAGCTGTAGTTCACAGTCTGCCTCTAGAGGGCGCTCCAGCTCCCACAGCTCCCCGTTCACCCTGCTCACCAGGGCTCCTTTCAGCCTGCAGGAACACACGCATGAACACTGGTGCCCCTGCAGAGACAAAGCACGTCCAACAACCCTGCAGCTGCGGTGCGATTACCTCAGACTCTGTGCAACAACGAGAGGTGTGCTGACACCAGCTGTTCCCTTGACCGTCCGGCCATCAGCCAGCTGGATGCTGAGGGGTTTCTCGGCAACTCCCTTCTTCCCTCGTTTTTCCCTGAGAGACTCAAAGACTCGGAGTCGCTCCTTTAGAGATGGAGACGGCTGAAACTGGAGAGGAGAAGTCAGTCAAACGAAACGGAAAGTCACAAAAAACACGACAGAAGCAAAATGCAAAAAAACAAAAAGCCAAGGTGGAATAAAAACTGCTTTTCTGAATAATAATCCAAATATTTCAGGATTTCAGTTAAGAGTGGAGCACTAGAAACGCCCCTCTCACAAAATAACTCATTTTCACCCCTTATTTATTAGCTGTAACATCCTCACTAAGGGATGCGATGCTTTTAACTAGGAAGAAGAAAATAACATTTCTACAGCGCCTCTCAAGATAAAAATCACGAGGAGCTTCACAAAAACAAAAATGTAAAATATAAAACTGAATTTAGAAAACGATGAAAAATATATTTAAAAACAGCAAAAAATAGACAATTGTGATTAAAAATATTAAAAGAGAGAGTGAACAGGAAAGAGGGAAATCAGTGGATCCAGAGGAAGGTGGAATAGGTGGGGAGAGCAGAATAAAGAGAGAGAGGTGAAGAAGGTCATACAAAAGCCAGCTTGAACAGGTGAGTCTTCAGCTGCTTTTTAAAGGAGACCACTGAGTCCACTGATCTCAGGCTCAGGGGGAGAGAGTTCCAGAGTCTGGGGGCCACAGCAGCAGATGATCTGTCACCTTTGACCTTTAGCCTGGTGCTGCACAACCAGTAGGCTTTGATCACTGGACCTCAGGGACCTGCTGGGGGTGTAGGGACTAAGAAGATCACCAATGTAAGATGGTGCTTGTCCATGTAAGGCCCTATAGACCAGAACCAGGATCTTGAAATGAACCCTGAAGTTGACTGGCAGCCAGTGAAGCTGGAGGAGAAGCGGGGTGATGTGGGTGTGTTTGGAGGACTTGGTCAGAAGCCGAGCACAGGCGTTCTGAACCACCTGTAGACGGTTCAGGGAGGTTCTGCTCAGACACGTGAAAAGAGAGTTACAGTAGTCTAAGCGTGAGGAGATGAAGGTGTGGAGAACTGTCTCAAGTTCAGAGCGGGACAGAATGGGACTCAGCTTAGCAACGTTCCTGAGATGGAAGAAGGAAGAGCGAACAAGAGAACTGACATGAGAATCCAGGGTGAGAGCTGGGTCAAAGGTCACGCCAAGACTCCTGACGGAAGGTTTGGTGTGAGAAGCAAGCTGACCAAGAGAGTCTCTGACTTTGGGAACCAGCTTGTCTGGGGCACAGATGAGGATCTCAGTCTTATCTTCATTCAGCTGAAGAAAGCTCCCAGCCATCCAGGCTTTGATAGAGTCTAAGCAGGTGTGTAACAGCTGCGGCTTAGACACCTCATGGGGCTTAAAGGAGATGTACAGTTGGATGTCATCTGCATAAAGATGGTAGGAGATTCCTTTGAAGGAGCTCAGCATGTTCTGAAGAGGAAGCAGATAGAGGAGGAAGAGCAGAGGTCCCAGCACAGAACCTTGTGGGACACCATGGGTAAGGGAGGTGGTGGAGGACCTAAACTTGGAGACGGCCACAGAAAAGGAGCGCTCAGAGAGATAAGAGAACCACTCCAGAGCAGATCCTGATAGGCCTACCCAGTCTCTCAGCCTCTCCAGTAGCAGGTGATGCTTAAAGTACTGAAGCAAAACTAACTACAAATGTATTTATACAGCAGGCATTACTCTCACTAGGCCACAGCTTCATGTTGTGAATGAATGGATTTGTGGTAAAAGAAAGTCTGGAGTAACTCTGAGAATTAATCATTTATACCCTCGCTCAGGCCTGAGAGCATAAAGTCTAACATCCCAACAATCACTTCACGGATTGGATATTTTTAAAGCAGATTTACTTACTAATATTAGCATGCAAGTATACGGTCGTTACTCAAAATTACTTTAGGTTAATCAGATGGAATAAAGACAGGGTATGACACAGATAGCTTCACCACCGCTCTAGTTTCTTTATGTTCCTACATCGAGACGGACTTCATTTTATTCTTCTAAATAGTTTTGATCAATAGTTCTTTAGTTTCTAAAGATTTGTCTAATTTTATTCTTTTTTCAATCATTTCCATTCTAATTCTTGTTGACCTTGAGATCACCACGTGTAGTGTGTGAGTAAAAAATTATAAAATTAAAAAGTACACGGAAAAAAGGGCCAAGTTCAAAGTAGCCGTCTCCATCTGGAGGGCATCTGAAACCTTCAACTAATAACACTCAACTTAAAGTGCAGCTTATGTTGAGTCAAATTAATTTTAATAAGAAACGTTTATTTTCTTATGAGTTCACCAATAATGTGTCAAAGGCTACAGATTTTAAATTAATTGCCAAATTATGTCAACTTTTGACTTTAGGAGCCTTTCATCTCTGATAAGTTAATTATACTTACAAAAACAAACAACATTCATAAAAGTACCAGGACTGAGCTTTTTTTTAAATTAGCCAGTTTTTAAAGTCTTTCAGAAAATGAAAATTAATTTTAAAAAGTCTGATAGGCAGCATTTAGTTTGTTTTACATGAGAAATTACCTACTTCACATTATTTTAAGTTGTTTCGATTTTTCCTTTGAAAAACGACTTAATTATTAAATAAGAAGTCTGTAGGAATAAAGCTTAACCCTTTGATGCATGAATTATGAAATCTTCAACCATGATTTTTTTAACCATTTTTCTCATTCATCTTTAGGTGTGAATGAAACAAATTTCATATTTACATATTTTTTGTGAAATGTAATTTACAAATAATTTATTACATGTCCACCTCAGTGGACAGTGTGCAATCTGAACATGAAACATGTTGGCTTGACTTACTGAAGTACAAATGGAGGGGTTCAAATGCAATAGTCTTCAACAGCTGTGCTTAATAGCAAAAACAAATAAATAACAATTTTAAGTAGCTGTCCACTGTAGTGACAATCATGCATCAAAGGGTTAAACGAAGTTAGTGAACTTGGAAAACGGCACAGAACAGCCTTCTATCATCTCAGAACCAATTAACAGCGCTACGTCACAACCCACAGCCCTGGATGCTAATGCTAACATAGCCGTTTCTGGTTTAGGTGGTCGCACCTTGCCGTAACCTCTGTGGAACGGTACACCGACTGCCGACTTCCGGACAACCTGCCGAAAAAACTGGGTCACCGCCATCCTAAGCACGTCTGTCTAACGGGTAATTTATCCCGATAAAACGACCACATAACACTTCTTTCCTTCCCACGGAAGCGGCCATAACACATGAATGCCGAGGAAAAACGTGATGACGTTTTAGGAGCGCCGAATTGTGACGCGGCTGCGCGCGCGCTTCACGCAGGAGCTGCGCAGTTGGAAAACGAGCAAAAACTAATAAGGAATATCAAAGAAATAACAGGTAAAGCTGGTAAAAGTTGTGGAACATTTACAGTGATTAAATACTAACGTCAGAGCGCATGCGCCGTCTGACAAAAGCGCCCACACAGGGAAGCACCAACCTGCTGCATCCCCACGGGCTAAACAGACGTCAGTCACAGCACTGGGTGAGCTCTGTGATGGACAATATTCCCAGGATTCTTTTATTGACCTGGTTCAGGACTACAAGTATCTTTAGAAAGAACTGTAAATATAAATATTTCCCTCACGTGTAAACATCCCACCAGTGACTAAATCAGGCATGTACTAAAAAACTTGAATAGTTTAATTAAAGATGTATAATCTGCAAACCTCAATGGTTAATCCTTAAATGTATCCAATTTTAATAGTTAAAAAAAATCTAAAACAGTAACCGTCTGGCGGTTTTCAATTTGCACCCAAACTGGCTCAGCTCCATTTCTGCACAGCTTCCATCAACGTCGGATTCTACCTGAAGTTCCAACAATCTGCCGCTTGATGGCGACAAAGCACCATAACAGTTAAACCCTTTATAGTTTATTTAGCGCCTTATTCAGTTTAAGCTCATTTTCTGAGCTGAGAAAGTAAAAAATAACGTCTTAAACACATTTCTCTGCTTTACTTCACATGTCTGCCAAACACACAGATCACCATCATCCCTAAAGTAGACTGCACTTTACCTTTGTTCTTTGTAAAAAGTGACACCGACATTAAAAAATAATTTAATGGCTGATTATTTGCTGTATTTGGGGTTAACACCTCTGAAACCAGTGTAATTTGTTTCATATTAAGGTTTAAATGGTGCAATGGGATCTTATATATGCGAGTCAAAATATTTTCCTGTTTAAATCAAGTCATTTTATAGTTTACTAGTAATACTTGCTCAGAGAGCGATGCGTTTTGCAGGAAAGACCCCTAAACAAAAAAAAAATGCCTTGAATGAAAACATAATTTTCTGATAACTGTCATATTTGTGCCATGTTGTTAATGCAAACAGCTAATCCAGGCGCCGCGTGATCCCAGCGGTTCATTATCAAGTAGACAGGCGATTCAAGAACCCTAGAGCTAGAAGAGAATGAAGGCTGTGTTTCAGATTAAGTGTCTTTGCAGCTGAGCCAAGGAGGGAGGAAAAGAATCGGATCTTCCAGGAGGAATTTAGAGAAAACTTCAAGTTGAATAAAATCACAGAAGCAGAAAACACCTGTTAGGAGTGCTGAAAGATTAGTGTTCAGTGCAACCATCGGGTCTTTAGATAGGCGACGTATGTAGTTGTCATTGTGCTCAACTACAGGTGCTGGCCAGTAAATTAGAATATCATCAAAAGGTTGAAAATATTTCAGTAATTCCATTCAAAACGTGAAACTTGTACATTATATTCATGCAATGCACACAGACCAATGTATTTCCAATGTTTATTACATTTAAATTTGATATTCATAAGTGACAACTAATGAAAACTCCAAATTTGGTATCTCAAAAAATTAGAATATTCTGAAAAGGCTGAATATAGAAGACACCTGCTGCCACTCTAATCAGCTGATTTACTCAAAACACCTGCAAAGGCCTTTAAAAGGTCCCTCAGTCTTGTTTTGAAGGCACCACAATCATGGGGAAGACTTCTGACTTAACAGCTGTCCAAAAGACAATCATTGACACCTTGCACAAGGAGGGCAAGACACAAAAGGTGATTGCTAAAGAAGCTGGCTGTTCGCAGAGCTCTGTGTCCAAGCACATTAACAGACAGGCGAAGGGACGGAAAAAATGTGGTAGAAAAAAGTGTACAAGCTCTAGGGATAACCGCACCCTGCAGAGAATTGTGACGACAAACCCATTCAAAAATGTGGGGGAGATCCACAAAGAGTGGACTGCAGCTGGAGTCAGCGCTTCAAGAACCACCACGAGGAGACTCATGAAAGACATGGGATTCAGGTGTCGCATTCCGTGTGTCAAGCCACTCTTGAACAAGAAACAGCGCAAGAAGCGTCTCGCCTGGGCCAAGGACAAAAAGGACTGGACTGATGCTGAGTGGTCCAAAGTTATGTTTTCTGATGAAAGCAAGTTCTGCATTTCCTTTGGAAATCAAGGACCCAGAGTCTGGAGGAAGAGCGGAGAAGCACAGAATCCACGTTGCATGAGGTCCAGTGTAAAGTTTCCACCGTCAGTGATGGTGTGGGGTGCCATGTCATCTGCCGGTGTTGGCCCACTCTGTTTCCTGAGGTCCAGGGTCAATGCAGCCGTCTACCAGGAAGTTTTAGAGCACTTCATGCTTCCTGCTGCTGACCAACTTTATAGGGATGCAGACTTCACCTTTCAACAGGACTTGGCACCTGCACACAGTGCCAAAACCACCAGCACCTGGTTCAAGGACCATGGTATCCCTGTCCTTGATTGGCCAGCAAACTCGCCTGACCTTAACCCCATAGAAAATCTATGGGGTATTGTGAAGCGGAGGATGCAATACGCTAGACCCAACAATGCAGAGGAGCTGAAGACGACTATCAGAGCAACCTGGGCTCTCATAACACCTGAGCAGTGCCACAGACTGATCGAGTCCATGCCACGCCGCATTACTGCAGTTATTGAGGCAAAAGGAGCCCCGACTAAGTATTGAGTGCTATACATGCACATTCTTTTCATGTTCATTCTTTTCAGTTGGCCAACATTAGAGAAACAAACATTTTTTCATTGGCCTTTAGAATATTCTAATTTTCTGAGATACCAGATTTGATGTTTTCATTGGTTGTCACCTATAAATATCAAAATTAAACGTAATAAACATCGGAAATACATTTGTCTGTGTGCATTGCATGAATATAATGTACAAGTTTCACGTTTTGAATGGAATTACTGAAATATTTTCAACCTTTTGATGATATTCTAATTTACTGGCCAGCACCTGTAGATGCGGTCTACTCCTCCTTGCTGCTGCGGGATGTGTGCATGTTCATCACAACAGAAAGGATCAGACACCCAAAGAGCAGTGATATAGCATCATTGATGAGAACAGCAAATCAAATATATACAGCTTAGTTACATCTTCACACATTTTTCACTCAAAATCATCAAACTGAAGGTCAACAAAGAAAGAAAAAACTGTTCTTTACAAAACCAAAACCTTAAAGGTGAGCGTGCTGCGGCTCAGATGTGCGCGTTAACTGCGAGTACTTGAGGGGAAGCCGGTTAACGCGTGAATGCGCTCATCGCTGAATATGCAGACGTGTGGTGGATCTCACTTTAACATGAAAGGAAGATTTAAAAACGGATTAGCGGCTAGTTTCAGTCTGCACCTGATAAAAGAGGACATCTGAACCTGAAGGGTGCAGAAACCTTTCCTGGAGAGGAGGAGCAGCGGAAAAACAAACCGGAAGAAGGGAACCAAAACTTTAACACATCTGTTTTAAAATAAAACTATCCCAAATTTATCCGGCCGGGGAGGGGGGGCACAGAATGATGATGCAACGTTAAAATGGCCGCAGGTCTCTAAAAACGGGCACAAAATGCAGCCCAGCAGAGGCAAATAAATCAAAAGGGTGAAATCCAAATGAGCATAAATACCGCCTCCTCTTCCTCCAGTTTAATTGAAACTCTGCATTTTATTCAAGTCACAACAGGTTGAAAAGTGTGGTTCAAACATAACGTTTCTCCCCATTTCACCATCTAATACAAAACTAACCAATGCATCCAAAAATAGTCACGTCACCGAGAGGAAACTCTTCACCCTCCTCTTCTGAGAGATGCGTTCAGAAGGGCAGAAAGGTGCGGCGGACACTGCAGGAACAAAAAATAAACTCTCTTCCAGGGCGGGACACGTCGTTCATCTTATTTACACAAGTTAAAAAGCTTAAAGGAGAAGAGTGGCATCACTTTTTATATTTACAAGCGTAGAGATGGACAGAGGGGTGGAGAGGAGAGGAAAAAGGTAGAGCAGCAGGAGAATATTTACAGCCAAGTTTTCTGAAATGACCTGAAACAGCAAATCTGAGCACTTTAGAGGAGAGATGCACAGCAAACGTCCATTTAGTCACGAAAGAGGAAACTTCTCCCATCGCGTCGGTTAATAAACGGTGAAAAACAGGTTCGACATTATGAGAAACGTGGTTTTTGTGATGAGATGAACAGAAGATAAGTGATGTGGCTGGGCGCAGGCTAGCCTCTGGGGTGGATGGATGAAGAGCGGCCCGAACTTTTCGTTTATATTCATGTGAGCCTCCGTTAAAAGCGCTAACATTTTCTACGTGCTAGCCTTAGCATGAAAGCTAATGTTTCTACAGCACCTAGCTGCTCTCGTTAGCGTCGTCGCGGGCGATCTTCGCCTTTTTCTGCACATTTCATTTAACGTTTCCCAGAATCACAGACAGAAAACGTCTAAAGGAAACATTTCACCTCTGCTTCAACTGTCTGGTTTTTATTCTCATGCTGCTTTTGCTAATGACAGCTAATGTGTGTGGATAAGTCGGTTACACAACACTCTGCCTGACGATCAGCTCTTACAGTGTAAGGCGACTCTGGCTACCAAGCTGCAGGTTAAAGTTGGATATTTACACACAACAGGGCTCATACCAGCAGGGCTAACACACACTGCACTGTTAGATGTGTGCTTGAACTTCTCATTCAGCTTCAGTAGCGCGGCGGGAGGAAAGGCCTCTTCTGGAAAGGACCGCCTACGAAAGGAGGACCGGGGCGCTTCCCTCTGCGGAAGCCCCCGCCCCGGGGCAGATCTTGAGACGGGCTGCGGCCCCGCAGCGGGGGTCTCTGTGGGACGGGAGTTGAGAGGATTGGGGGTCGAGGGCTGGGGAGGGTGAGGAGAGGGACGGGGTGGGACTGAGGTGGAGGACTGCCGGGAGGTTTGGAAGGGGCGGAGTCACCGGCGGGGGAATTAGGAGTGGTGGGGGAGGACGTGGGAGAGGGGAGAGATGGAATCAAAGGCTCCTTCACTCTGCCCAGTAGAGGTGGAGGGACACCTGGGGCGCCTGGGCGGTGGAGGGGCGGGGTGTGACGAGGGACAAAAGACTCTTTAACTGTGCCGGGGCGAGGGAGCCGGGGGGGCTCGCCCAGTAGCGACGGCATGAGTGGCGGGGGGGTGATTTTTCTTCCTGTGGGTCCCATCCTGCCACGCTCCGCACAGTCAGGCTTCATGGGGAGAGGATGAGACCGGCCGGGGTCGACGGGGACCAACAGTCCCCCGACCATAACTGCAGAGGGCACGGCGGGGTGAGTGGGCGGGGGTGAAAGGCGCTGCAGCGAGGAGGGTGGAGGGGGTGGAGGGATCGAAAGGGGAGGGCCGAAGAACGGGGGTGTGGGAGGAGGAGGGTGGAGGAGGTGTGATGGAGGAGTCTGGATGTTCTCAGGGTGGTAAGGCATTTGAAACGCGGTCTGAGGGAGGTGTGGGAGGGGAAGCGAGGGAGGAGGGTGAAGATGTGGGAGAAGGAGGTGTGGCGGGGGAGGAGGCGGAGGAGGAAGTGGAAGAGGAGGCATGGAGGAAAGCCTGTCCTCTGCACCTCCCTGGACCATATTAAGAGGCGGTCCAACGTGAGATGGAGGAGGCGGAGCTTTGAGGTACTCCTCCTCTTCATACCACATAGCAGCACCAGGCCGACTGCCAGCCCCTCCCCCTCTTCGAGAGCCTCGACCAATCACGCGGATGCTCTCTACCGTCTTGATGCGCTCTCCAGCCAGTGGGCTGCTGGAAAACCCCCGAGTCTGGGCGGGCGCTGCTTCAGCGTGGTGTGACACCAGAGTCTCGATCCGGTGGTACTGGCCCTCCTTCGTGTCTTTTTCCGGAAGCCCCCTCTCATCCTGCTCCTTCCTCCCACTCACACCTCCATCTTCAGAGCTGGTGCTCGCCTTACGAGAGCCGGCAGAGAGCCTCCTCTCTCCCGCTGCTCGGCTGTTTCCCATAATCCTTGGCTGGCCATGCTGCTCATCCTTCTTACCCATCACCCCTTCACCCTGCGAGTGTGAGCTGCTCTTTTTAGCAGATCCGTACCTAGAGGAGTTGGGACCGTCTCCACTGTTGCTGCGTCCCGACGGAGCGACTGCAGCATCCCAGGGTTCGTTGCAGTAGGCCGTGGGTGAAAGGTTGTGACCTCCAGATGCTGCGGGCGTGTCCATGATCTCGTCCTGCGTTGGCGTGCCGGCCGCTTCGTCTCTTACCGGGGTCCCGTCCACCCCGTCAGGACTGTCGTCGCCGAGGGCGAGGCTAAAACCTGGGTTGCCCTGCAAGAAACTGTTGATTTTTGATTCCAAACTCGGGGGAGAGACGGAAGGAGCAGTAGGACGAGGAGGTGGCGGAGGAGGGGACAGCTGTCTGTCCTTCTCCCAGTCTCTGGTTTTTGCAGCTGTGTCCTTTTTGAGGCTGTTACCTAGAGGGGTTTTGGGCTTAGGGGTGGTCGGGGTAACTGGGGTTTTGATGCTTGAGGATTCTGGAGAGGTTCGGGCGGAGGTAGCAGAGGCGGTGTTGGTCACACTTTGCAGCAGAGAGGACAACGCTGTTCAGAAGAAAAGAAAGAAAAAAACAGACACAACAGGACATAAAACGTGGTGACACTTTTTTTTTACCCCCACCAATTTTTTTTTTTTTTTTTTTTTTTTTTTATGTTTAACGTGTCCAACCTGGCGTGTTGGACTTAGACAGAGCATTGAGGATCCCTTCGGGGGTGATGTCCACACGTGACAGGATGCTGGCCAAAGCGGGACTTGGTGGCGTTGCTTTGGTGGCTGCTGATTGGCCGGTGGGGGTTGTGGGTGTCCCAGGGGACGGTCGCGGCGATGGACTGGCTGCTGACGGGAAAAGACAGAAGAGTAGATCAAAGGTTCTGCAATAATGTCAAAACCCTCACTTAACACACACACACGCAGGCACGCACACACACACACACACACGTACTCTTCATGGCAGATGTGAGTGAGCTGAGAATAGAGCTGATCTTTCCCAGGTCCACCTTGGCCAGATTGACTCCCAGGGGGGTGACTGGGGCATTCGTGGCTTTAGCGGATGTGGGTGTCGCTGGGGTTGCCGTAGTAACTGCAGCCACAGGTGAATCGATGGCTTTGGAGACTTTTGTGGGTGTGCTTGGAGGTTTTGATGTCGTGTCTGGCTTTGATGTTTTGGAAACTGCCGAGTCTTTTTTATCATCTACAAGGAAGAAAGACCAAAAGGAAGCAACAGGTTTACAAATCACCACAACCACAGAACTTTAAAGAGGTCCGCACCCAGAAAACGCTTCTCACACAAAATCAGCTATCTTGCAAAAAGCCGTGATGCTTTATGACGATTCCTGTTTACACCGCAGAAGAGATGAGCGTTCACTGTAACGTGTTTATCACGGTGGAGCCTCGGAAGAAACAAAGAAAACGTTTATCCGGGGTTTTTCCGGGCTCAAATTGAGGCGGAGGTGGTACCATCCTGACCATGCGCCAGCACATGCATACTCTGTGCATTCAACTGCCTCATTTTTTAAAAACAAAATATTATAAAAGGCTCAATAATATGCATTAGATTGGTGTTTAGTTCCCTTTTTCCCATCTGACATTTGTAGTTAAAATATTTTTCAATATTTGACCTTCAGTGACATTTTAGGTTTGTATTAATAACACTCGTCTTAGTCAAAATAACACATAAATATCCAGTAAAATATTCAAAATAACACATAAATATCCAGTAAAATATAATGTATTTCATTAACATGCATTTGTATTGGAAATGGTAATAACATTTAATTTCTGCTGCTAACAATGTAATGGTGGCATGTCTATTATGTACATGTTGGGGGGGTTCCGTTTTGCCTTGGCCCCCAAAAAGTCTTGAAACGGCCCTGGGTGTGTGACTGAGTGTTGAAGGTGCTCTGAATTGTATCAGACTAGGGCTGCACAATATATCGAAAAATTATCGTCGTCGGGATAACAGGACGTGTGATAGGCCCATCGCAAAGCACGTCAAAAATGGCGATTAATGTTTGGTTTAAACATTTCCATCCGTGTCATACATCAACTTTTTGTAAACCAGCTCTGTTTTTTACGCGGAAGTATGTAGCCCTTCTGATATGCGGCCAATCAGACGGGTCCGTTCCCGTAATACGACCGCCCCCTACGTAGACCCTTAGGATGGAAAGCAACACCCAAACTGAGTTGGCGGCGCCGTTCCCTTGTTCATCATGCTGGCTCAGAGCAACGAACGCACTTTTTGCTGAGGTTTCTGGAATCAGCGCTGCTTTCAAACGTGAACGTGAGTCCGCTCGGTGTCGTTAATCATTTTTACCGGGCTGACTCCGACACGTGTCGGTGAACAAACCCACCTTCATGTCGCTAGTGTTAGCCCCAGGCTCCGGTTAGCTTCCAGCTAAAAGGCTACAGCACTCTCCTCCCAGTCCCACCCTGCTAAAGAGGGCTTGGAAAAGTTCCCCCACACATCAAAGTGATTTTTCATGTATGAGCTTTTATAACCTTGTTAATCAGGATAGTTGATTTGCTGCTGCACATAAACTGTCAGTCAGAAGCTCTGCTAGCCGGTTATCTTAGAGAAGCTAGTTCAGTTTGTTAGCTTGTTATCAGAATCATAGTTGCAGTTTCATCATCTGAGCTGCTTTTTAAGATCTAGGTAAACTTGTTCAATTTGGGGTTAAAAACAAACGTTTTCACATATTTTCCATGTAGTTTTTTGCGAGTTCCTCTTCTGAAAGGTAGACAATTGTTTTTCTCTTTCCCTCAGAAAATCTTAATATTCTCCTAGTTTGGCCCAGCACAGTTCACTTCCCAGTTACAGCAACAGCCTTATATCATAACCACATAAGTGGAGAAAATGCTCAGTAGCAATGAGAGAATTTGCTGTTGCATTTAAGTGATGTTAACTATTATTTAACATTTAAACTTATTTTCTGATTTTTTATTTATTCAGAAACCCTGGTAAGGGATGTTTTTCTGTATTTGGAGCATCAGAAAAAGTTTTATGGTGGAGGTGATGTTTTAAAGTCACTGAGAAACTGCATGCATGCAGTTTGTTGTTTTGCTGCTAATACAGTAGCAGGAGCAGCTGCTAATACAGTAGCAGCTGCTCCTGCTACTGTATTAGCTGCTACTGTATTAGCAGCTGCTCCTGCTAATACAGTAGCAGCTGCACCTGCTACTGTATTAGCAGCTGCTAATACAGTAGCAGGTGCAGCTGCTAATACAGTAGCAGGAGCAGCTGCTAATACAGTAGCAGGTGCAGCTGCTAATACAGTAGCAGGTGCAGCTGCTAATACAGTAGCAGGAGCAGCTGCTAATACAGTAGCAGGTGCAGCTGCTAATACAGTAGCAGGTGCAGCTGCTAATACAGTAGCAGGAGCAGCTGCTAATACAGTAGCAGGTGCACCTGCTAATACAGTAGCAGGTGCAGCTGCTAATACAGTAGCAGGAGCAGCTGCTAATACAGTAGCAGGAGCAGCTGCTAATACAGTAGCAGGTGCAGCTGCTAATACAGTAGCAGCTAATACAGTAGCAGGTGCAGCTGCTAATACAGTAGCAGGTGCAGCTGCTAATACAGTAGCAGGAGCAGCTGCTAATACAGTAGCAGGTGCAGCTGCTAATACAGTAGCAGCTAATACAGTAGCAGGTGCAGCTGCTAATACAGTAGCAGGTGCAGCTGCTAATACAGTAGCAGGAGCAGCTGCTAATACAGTAGCAGCTAATACAGTAGCAGGTGCAGGTGCTAATACAGTAGCAGGTGCAGCTGCTAATACAGTAGCAGCTAATACAGTAGCAGGTGCAGCTGCTAATACAGTAGCAGGTGCAGCTGCTAATACAGTAGCAGGTGCAGCTGCTAATACAGTAGCAGGAGCAGCTGCTAATACAGTAGCAGCTAATACAGTAGCAGGTGCAGCTGCTAATACAGTAGCAGGTGCAGCTGCTAATACAGTAGCAGCTAATACAGTAGCAGGTGCAGCTGCTAATAGAGTAGCAGGTGCAGCTGCTAATACAGTAGCAGGTGCAGCTGCTAATACAGTAGCAGCTAATACAGTAGCAGGTGCAGCTGCTAATACAGTAGCAGGTGCAGCTGCTAATACAGTAGCAGGTGCAGCTGCTAATACAGTAGCAGGTGCAGCTGCTAATACAGTAGCAGGTGCAGCTGCTAATACAGTAGCAGGTGCAGCTGCATATTTTTGCAATAAAAATGTTATGTTGTAATGGAATTCATGCATTAGTTTTTGTTTGCTTTGAGCCCAGAGCAGACATCACACACCAGACGACATCAACACTGCATACTTTAGTATTTGTTCATTTATCGTGAGTAATATCGAATATCGCAATATTAAGCACTGTTATCGAATATCGCAGGTTTTCCTAATATCGTGCAGCCCTAATCAGATGTATAAATATAACACGTGTATAACTTGTTGTTTTATACAGGTAAAAACATGTAGTGGAGATAAATCTACCCACATTTTACTTTCAAGCTTTGTTTTCTTGTTTTTATTGAACTATTTTCCTGTCCTGTCTGTCTCTCATCTTCCTGCATCTCCTCTAAACTCTCCAGAAAATCTGCTGCCTGGATTCTTACCTTTTCACCTCATCAGTTACTTTTGAGCAGACCAAAGGGATCTCCTGACTGCAAAGCGTAGTGCGCGTTTCGATGCTGCGTCAGTGAGGTGAAATCACTGCAGCACACGATGAGCGGAGCGCATCAGGAACGATTAAAAGACAGAATACTAGAGGATTTAAACAGATATGAAAGATCACGTGTTAATAATCATGTTTTGTTGCACCACCTTGAGAACGTATCGTGCGCCGGACGCACCAACGATCAGCGCTCTGCGTCCTCTCCGCTCAACAGCATCCCGCTGCGCTGAGTCTATAAATATTGTAATATAGGCAGAAACTGGATCTTTCCCTGAAAGATATCTAGCCCCCATAACTCGATCCCTGCTCCTGGATGACAAACTGGACATTTTGATCAAAGTAGGACCCCCCGCCCGACAGAGAGTGAAAAGTGGACCTGTCCGGGGGAAAGAGGACCTATGGTCAGCCTACAATAGCATCAACCACAGATATGTACCACCTAGCAAGAAATGCAATGTTTGATCTTTGTCTGCAGCGGTTTTAGCGCTTTTCAGTGCACCGCTGCTGATACAGCGCCCCGTAGTGGTGCAACGCTGCAACTGCACTTAAAATAACATCCGTATAGCTGGGGGCAGAGTGAAATCAGGCTGGGGCGGCACAAAAATAGCTGGAGGCGTCCGCCACGCAAATTTGAACGCAGGAAAAACCCTGTTTATCTGACGATGCTAACAAACAAAAAGAATGTCCGATAGCAATAGGAGTCACAAAAGAGGCGGCATCAGGAGTTTTCTGTGTTGTGAGAGCTCAGACACGATTCCTGCATGTTTTAGGTGAAGGCTGAGGAGACGTTTCAGCAGTCGGATTAAATGTGTCGAAGCGTTTTGGCTTCGTTTTCACGACAGAGAGTAAAAACGGACACTAGGGGGTGCTAAACGCGTAAATATGAGCGAAGGACCTCTTTAAATAAAGGATAAATATTGCTCCCATCTTTTAGACAAGACAGCGTAACTAAAAATGTGGAGGGTTAAAACCGTCGTTGTACAGAACAACAAATCTTCAAAGCTCTGCAGCAGCTGACCTTCCACTGCGGCTGCGGTTGCCTCCTCATCAGACATGTCCATGTCCTCCATGTCCCTGTTGTCAATTTGTATATCGCCATCATCCATGGCCTTTCCATCCAGCTCTGGATCCACCTGAGCCCTGCTAACACCTACTTCCAGAAAGGGCGACTCCGATCCGGTGGGTGACGGAGCATCTTCAGACGGAGAGGGGATGGGGGAGTCCTCAGCTCCAGGTAGAGTTGCTTTAAGAGAGTCCAGTTTCCTTTTGAGATTGGTCACCCGGTTGGCAAAGGCGTTGTATGCCTGAGGAGAAGGATTTACGCTTCGTATAAAATGATTTTACTTTCAAGCAGAAGAGCATTCATAACAGTTTTTACCACCACGCACCAAATCTATGTTCAGAGTTTCCATTTAGCCGTTGTGAATCTTAAACACTCACGTTAGCCACGATTTTCACTTCCTTGTACTGCGTCTCGTAGAAAATGTCTGCGTTTCCCAGAGCTTCCAGCAAAGCCGGCCCAGTTTTCAGCTCCTTCTCCAGGAAGCTGACGAACTCTTGCAGCTTCCCGGTGCCGTCCTCAAAGTCTTTGGCAAATTTGTTCCCTCCTGCCTTGTCTGAGAAAACAAAGAAAACAAACATTTCACACAGATTATAATAAAAATTTGGTCATCAGGGAGTCATTCTGTTCCGTTTTCAACTGAATAAAACAATAAATAAATAAATAAATAAATAAATAAATAAATAAATAAATAAATAAATAATAACAATGCTGACCAGAAGAAATTTCAAGTCAACGTGGTTTTGATGTGACTTTCAAAATTAAAGCCCTTGAAATCACCTGCCTTTAGTTTCAGAATAAAACACAAAGTGTGAAGATGCAAACTTGAAGACCTCCTCTGCAGGAACTTCAATATTAACCCTGAAGACAACTTTTATACGACCAAACGTTTCTGGTTACTAGGACTTGTTTGATTTCCATAGCTGAGTTTTATCATAGTCGACCACATAAAATCCCAACCTCTTCATTTAGGTCTGCTTCACTGATCTTGATTAAAATCTAACGTCTACTGGTCAGAACACATTTCACTTCAGACTACGAGTTGGCCATCTCCACACGATAAAGTTGCAGTCAGATCTGACAGACGTCAGAATTGAATCAGCTGCAATTTAAACTGGATCTTTAGTTGCAGATGGGGTTGGGCATCGTTTGATTTTGAACGATTCCGATTCCAATTCCTCGTTTCGATTGCGGTTCCTATCGATTCCCGATTCCGATTCTTTCAAGACATGACGTGTTTTACACGAGTCAGCTAACCACAGGTCCTACTGGATGAAATAATCTTAACTTCAACATGAATTTTAACTCCATGAACAACAATAGGGCTGCAACAAACGATTATTTGGATAATCGATTAATCGGATGGGGTCTCGACACGATTAATCGATTAATCGGATTACATGGGGAAATTTTTAAAAACTGCTAGGGGAACGTTATTTCTCTCCTTCCTTCACTTTATTTAACACAACATTATTAGAAAACAGTTCAATAGCAGAAAAACAACATGCCATCACCTAAATTGTCTTATAAGGTGTATAGACAGAGACCCTAAGCTACATCTATCTGTGACCTAAAATGCTTGGTCCAAGTTAAACAGCTTAAGGGCAATTCTCATGTGTTTTGTTTGATCTCATCTGTTGACATTTATTTTAAATGTAATTAAACATAGGCTGTGAATTAATCAAAATTGATCACTATTTCCAAAAATGACTGAAAAAATACCAAATAAAGCAAAAGTAAATGAATGCCATCCTCCTTGCGATGATGCCCTGGGCAACTGCCATAAAGTCACATCAAGAAATGCTGCTGATCATTCCAATGATCCCAAATAGACTCACATTAGGCCACATGAAAGCAACTGAACCCAAAAATATATTAACCAGTATATAACTGCACTCTCACACAACACGCCTGCAGCAACAGTTAGGACTCCTCCCTCCCTTTTAAAAGCGTTTTTGCTTCCGAGGACATTGTGGTTGTAAAACCACATGCTAGTAGTCTGGCCCCGGTGTGATCAACCAGTTTCTGCGGGAATGTGACGGCGGAACCAGGGCCAGATTAACACTTTGTTGTACCCTGGGCAACAATATTCAAGGGCTCCATCATCACAACCCAAGGATCACCATAATGTGGTCACATACAGAATATTTTACTGTAATATGCAGTAAATATACTCAATACTTGAATGCCTGACAACACGTAACCCACCCAGAGTAACCTTTGACCCACCTCGTGTGGACTGACCAATGAGGAGAGGGTCTTAACTTGAGGCCCTCTCTTCATTGGTTAGTCTGCATGAGACTGACTCTCAACTGACGTTCAGTCGTAGGCAGCGAAGCGTCTCTGTGCAGCGCAAAAGCCCGGGTGGACAGTTTGTTTAATGTAGGGTGATCATATTTCCATTTCCAAACAAGAGGACAGGGGATCTGTGACTATGACGTCACACTATGGCAACGCCACACAAACCATGTTGGGACCCATTTTTTGTAAGAACTAAATTAATATCAGATTCTGCCAACAAAAGGGCTCTAAAACTATTCATATGTAAATATTTTGCATATTTAATGCAAAATCTAATTTTTCTGCTTTAGTGCTGCAACAAGGTTTTATTAATAATAAATTATTATACATTTTGTTTTACTACAGCATCGGTAAGCTTCCTGTGCACAGATTATTAAGGATGCTTGTTTCAGCTGTGAGATTAGACGATAGGATCAATGAAAAAATAAGTTGTCACACACTCCATGGAAACTTTCAGAGAATCCACAAATAGTGGCTTTCAAATGGTTTTGTTACTTTTTGCAAGTTTATAAAAGCAGCAGATGAGACAGCATGTCTGATAATTTAGTTTTTCATCTGATATTAGAACATGTCAGTAATGTCTGAGGGGACTTTATAAACACCGTATAACTAATACTACTGGAGAGGGTATGAATTACACAGAGGCTTCTGGGGAGCCCAGTTATTTGGGGGGGGGGGCATTTTGCTTTGGCCCCCAAAATGTCTTGAAACGGCCCTGGGTGTGTGACTGAGTTTTGAAGGTGATCTGAATTGTATCAGATGTATAAATATTACATGTGTATAACTTATTGTTTTTTACTGGTAAAAACGTGTAGTGGAGATAAATCTACCTACATTTGACTTTTCAACACTTTGTTTTGTTTTCTTGTTTTTATTGAACTATTTTCCTGTCCTGTCTGTCTCTCATCTTCCTGCATCTCCTCTTAATTCTCCAGAAAATCTGTTGCCTGGATTCTTACCTTTTCACCTCATCAGTTACTTTTGAGCAGATCAAAGGGATCTCCTGACCACACAGCGGAGAGCGCGTTTTCGATGCTGCGTGAGGTGACATCACCACAGCACAGGTGATGAGCTCCGCAGTAGCGCGCTTCAGGCACAGATAAGACAGAAAGTAGAGAATATGTGCGGACATGAACGATCGTGTGCTAATTATAGTTTTTTGGTTGAACCACTTTGAGAAGGACCGTGCGCTGGAAGCAGCTGCCTGGATCGCTGCACAACAATGCAGAACCGGTTCGCAGCAGCGCAAGTCTGCCGGCTCTCCCTCGCGATGATCTGCCGGTACCGGCTCTCCCTCGCGCTGATCTGCCGGTACCGGCTCTCCCTCGCGCTGATCGGCTCTCCCTCGCGCTGATCGGCTCTCCCTCGCGCTGATCTGACTTGCTCTGGTCTGCGCGCAGTGGCGGGCGGGAAGGGGGGGGGCGCTTTTGGAAGAGTTGTGCGACACAACAAATCGATGACGCAATTCGTTGCCAACGCTTTTAGTAATCGATTTTCATCGATTTTATCGATTCGTTGTTGCAGCCCTAGACAACATCACCTTCATTTAGACAAAAACATGTTTTGGAGAAAGAAAGAAAAAGACTTGCGGCACAACCAGTGTGTTTGTTTCTGACCACAACCAAAGTCTGGAAGAAGCCTCTGGGATGAGAGGCTAAATGTCGCCAACATATCCAGAGACGTCCAGCTGTTTTCAGCTACAACTCTCAGGATGATCACGTCCAGGATGACGGAGAACTACACCTCCATGCTGCAGCAGCGTTCAGTCACAACAGGAACTTAAATGCAGCTGCTGTCAGTAACAATCTAACAGATTTTAAACATTACAACTCAACATAAATAGTTTAAAAAGGAAATAAAAATGTTATTTATTATTATTATTATTTATTGTGGCAGAAGCTGGTGTGGTCCACCACAGAGAAGCTGCTCTAGCATGATGACTTTAATTATTCTACAGGCTATTGTTCAGCCTTCTGAAGCTCTCTCACACACACACACACACACACACACACACACACACACACACACACACACACACACACACACACACACACACACACACACACACACACACACACACACACACACACACACACACACACACACACACACACACACACACACACACACACACACACACACACACACACGAGTGTTGGTGAGCGGCTCCGTGTGTTTTTATTTCTGCAGTGAGACGAACTCACCTCACACCGTCCAGAGTTTGTCCACCGTGTTGACGTATTTTACACGTTTCCTCTACGCTGCAGGAGTTAACGTTTACATCACGGAGTTGAAGTTCGGCAGACACGTTTCTTTATATCCGGGTGGGGTGGGGGGGTGGGGGGGGGACTCTGTGCTGCACACACACAGCTGGTGTGATCAGCTCTGAAAAGCGTTGATCACAATTTCTAGATCACGTTTATTTTTCATGGAGATTGGCTGCGGATTTCTCTTCCGTCGGCATTCTAAGAATCGAAACTAGGAATCGAAATAAAAAACGTTGAGCGATTCCGGGAAGAATGAACAGTTGGAACCGGTTCCAATCGATGCTCCATGCCCAACCCTAGTTGCAGAAGAAAAAAAAAATCACTTTTCACACCTGAAGTAGATTTTGTTCACATGGCGTTTGCCAAGTTTCACCAAGAATTCACTGCGCATTAAACTGAGATGGAGACCAAGTCCGATGAAAGGAAAACTCAATAAAAACGAGCTTTACCATATCGTATTCAGACATTTACTGAGGAAAGTCACCTTATAGGATTTTGAGGAGCTTTAGAACTCATTCGCTGCCAGCGTTTCTCACAGTTTTTACTGTTTTTAAGAGCGAGAACGTTGCCCGCTAGGATGATGTCGACACCAAAAAAACCAAAACAAAGCGGAGACTCACCTCTTACATCAAGAAGAATTTGCGCGTTTCGAGCGTTATCCGTTCTTTAATAATCCGTTGTTGAATTGTGTTCGGCAGAAGCTTTTCCGGTTCGCGCCTCACTTTTTTTTACAGCAGCGACCCAAAACGATTTCCTAACACATGGATGTTCTGCTTCCTGATCACGTAACGTGTGACGTACGCGGATGAAGATCGGCTTTAGAGCTGAGAAGTTTGTTTTCACGGTGCGGGGGCTCGTCCGACGCCCACGCAGTAAAAAAAAAAAAAATGCAAATGACGACTTTAGTTGTCATTGGCAGTGAACGAGTTAAATACAACCTTTAGTAAGTCATAATTCTTTTTCTGGTCTGATGAACAAACTAGACTTCAGCTTTTACTTTGAAAATCATCAAACTGTGAAGGCAAACCTGACCGTATTTAAATCCCTTTGAGTCCTATAGCTGGTTTTCCATTAGATTTTACTGGTCTGAGCCTAAAATAAAAACAACAGGACCAAATACGTTTACTTTAGTATCAGAATAAATAAATAAATAAACAAGAGGAGTCACTGCTCATTTACCCTGAGGAACATTTTCAGTTGTGTTTCAGCAAGCAGGAAGTAGCCGTCTAAAAAATAAAAGTTTAAGGAAAATGTGACTGGATTCTGACCTTTAAGCCTCTTGAAAGCCTCGGTGTTGCAGACGTCCAGCCTGAGGGACGCCACCTGCTTCTGCCTGAACTCCTCCTCAGCAACAGCTCGTTTATACCTGGACAGCTGCTCGATGAGAGAGTGGGGCTGGGAGAGAAACGCAAAGCAACGTCACACTTGATGCCTTTTTTCCTGAAGTATTTAAAGACGATTAGAACAGAGCGGTCTTACGGTGAACTCAGCAACTATCTTGGACTTCAGGGCTGCTTTGGTGCTGGAGGGAGCTGAAGAACAAAAAGAATTACAACACAAACTATAAAAAGTGAATGTGCGTGAACCCGAAAGTTGCCTAACTGCGCATAAATCTGACCCGAGCAGACTTTTGCACGAGTCTAAAACCAAATAAAAAGAAACGTTCTATTAAAACGGACACATTAAACTGCTTTAATCTACTGAGCCGATCGTACAGACTCCATATTAACTCTGACTCCTCTACGCAGCTAAATGAAACTCACATTTTATCTCATTTTCCTTTACAGGCAAGCCAAAACTCAAGCAACCCATTCTAGGTGATATACGGTACAAATGAATCGTTCTTTCCCTGTAAATTAGTCATTCTAATTAAATTTACCCATAAATGAGCTCCATTCTGAGCCCTCTTCTCATTTCTGACGCTAACTAACCTGGGCTGGTCCTGAATCCTGATGACTTGACAAAAGGTGTGAGGTGCATCATAGTAGGGCTGAAGGATTTTAGGAAAAGACTGAATTGCAATTTTTCTAGCAGAAATTGCGATTTCGGATCAATTCACGATTCTCTGCAAACAAAGGTCCAACACTAGCCTGCCAAGCCATCCTGTAGATGAAGTGAAACGATGGTCTAGATTGTAATCTAGTACAACAAATCATTCACATTAATATTTACTATTTAAAGAGCAAGTCACTCCAAATCAACATTTTTTTTGCTGATAAACTATATAAATGTTTGATTGTGCTGCAGACAAATGTAGTCGACAATTCGGCACTTTAGTGCATTTTAGTTAAAATTTAAATATTCTCCCTAAAACTGTCAGCGATGCACTGTCGTCAGGTAAAAACTCAGCACTGCATTTGAATTTAAATCTGCCATCGCTATTGGCTAAGAGGTACACTATGGTTAGATGGTACATTATGATGTCACAATGTCGTGAGTGTGTGTATTTGTTAGCGGCTCCACCCTCTCGGTCTGCTAGGCAAAAGCATTTGTTGCATTTTTCAAACAGGAAGTGGGAGTTGAGTAAGAATCTGGTAGGGGGTGACTTACTCTTTAATCATACAATAAAAACAGTTAAAGCTATTGACATTTTCTCCCATTATTATCTTTTTATTTATTTTTTAATGTGTTTGTGAAGCAACTTGTGATTTTCATCTAGAGAGGAGATTTATAAAAACATGTTCTACCGGTTCTGTTCATTACCTTTATGGACAGAATTTCTAGGTGCAGCTGCGGTGTGGAGTGTGTCGAGTTTGGCGGCAGGAGAATCTCATCTCTGCTTTTTGCGGATGATGTGGTCCTCCTAGCTTCATTCAGCTCTGACCTTCAGCTCTTGCTGGGTAGGTTCGCGGCCGAGTGTGAAGCGGCTGGGATGAGGATCAGCACCTATAAATCTGAGACCATGGTTCTCGACCAGAAAAGGGTGGCTTGCCAACTCCGGGTCGGGGGAGAGGTCCTACCTCAAGTGGAGGAGTTTAAATATCTCGGGGTCTTGTTCACGAGTGAGGGTAGGAGGGATCGGGAGATCGACAGGCGGATTGGTTCGGCGTCTGCAGTGATGCGGACGCTGAGCCGATCTGTCGTGGTGAAGAGGGAGCTGAGCCAGAAAGCCAGGCTCCCTGGGGAGGTGTTTCGGGCATGTCCTGCCGGCAGGAGGCCCCCGGGTCGACCCAGGACACGTTGGAGAGGTTACATCTCCAATCTGGTCCGGGAACGCCTTGGGGTCCTGCTGGAGGAGCTGGTGGAGGTGGCCGGGGAGAGGACGGTCTGGAGCTCCCTAGTTGGGATGCTGCCCCCGCGACCCGGATAAGCGGAGGAAGACGACGACAACGATGTTCTACTCAAAAATGCATGGAGGAAATCTGTAGGTAGAAACAGCTTTTAAATGTACTAAATAACAAATGCACAGTTTTCCTGCATTACCGCGGCAGGCTGAAGCCGTCTGATAGTTTTTCCTCACTAACGTCAGCTCCGCGAGAGAGACGCATGCATTCTGACACCTTAGCTTGTCTGAACTAACGTGTGCCGTCAGAAACATTCAGACCATTTTTAAAAGACAAGTTGAGCTTTCAAGTCAACTAAAGTGCGCGACTCCGCACTCGCGCTGATGAAGCATAAACCAAGCTTTAGAAGTCAGCCTGAACCTGCTCCGATGTGGGAGGAGTCTCTCCCTCTCCCTTAGCGCCTCGTGATTTTTATCTTGAGAGGCGCTACAGAAATGATATTTTCTTCTTCTTCACCTTCTTACTCAACCACGTTCTCTCTCTCTCTCTCTCTGTCCCGGGTCCACCTACGGTGCCATTATTATTGGCTCTAGCAGCGCTGTGTGGGAACATAAAACAGGGAAATAACCTGAACATGCAGCTCTGGCAGCTGTGGAGTTGGGCTCGGCTCTGGACGGTACACCCCAACCCCCTCCCCCGCGCTGGCTTTTGCCCTGCCATAACACGGGGGAAACCCCGGATGAAAAAAAAAGTTACACAACTGATCCTGGATCAGTTAAACCAGCTAAAACCGCAGCTTTGACGGTAGGGCTGCTCGATGATGGCAAAAGTAATAATCACAATTGTTGTGACTGAAATTGAGATCTCGATTATTTAGGGCGATTTTTCAATTTATGTTTGATTTTATTTGTTTTTATTCAGTCATAAAATTGCTCAGGGCACTATCAGGACAAAAATAAATAAGAAACAAGATGATCACTAAAATAACTCCTGATTCCCAGTATAAAAAGACCAATATACTTATAGCTCATAGTCTATGACCCAAGGGCTATAGACCTTGGTTTATCTCATTTAAGTCTATCCAGTTATTATTTATCAGCGTGAGGAACTTATTTCTACCTTATTTATAAACTATTTATTTACAAGTCCATCAGTTAATGTAATAATTGTCCCAACCACAGCTGCACCCCCCCCCCCCCCCCAACCCGGTCTCACAGCAATCGGGGCAAGCTGCACGTGTGTTTAGCGCGACGCACGCGCACATTTAGCCGTTTTTAGCTGCTCAGGAGTCCGCAGGTGCGGTGTGTGCGTCACTCACTCTGGTTACTCCAACAGGGAGCCGGCTCTGAGAGCCGTTTCTTTAGCGACTGACACATCACTACATCATTCCCTTTCCTAATGTCCTGAAGAACGGTCCGGAGCGCAGGAGGAGTTTTTAGCTAACCTGCAGAAATGTCAACGACAGTTATCCAGAAAGTAGCTAAGGGTTACCAGAGATGTTTCTGAGGTGTTCGCTAGGTACTTTTAAGATTTAAAAAGTCAAGAAGGGGGTCTGAAAAGCTGCTAGAAATAGCATCAAAGTCGCTAAGTTGGCAACACTGTGGGAGCGCTTCATTTGCAACTCAGGGCAGCGCAAGTGGGAGGAGCAAATGATCGGCTTGTTTTGTTTTGATCATCGTTCAAAATTCAGATCGTAATTGGGATTAAAATTCGATTAATTGAGAAGCCCTATTTGACGGTCACGTGATCCTGCTGTTTGAAATCCCAATTTCGGTCCAAAAACGATAGATCGCTCAGCCCTACATCATAGTGCTACATAAAATAACCACAATGAACTATTTGGCTTTCCGTAACATGTGTCATAAAAACAGAATTTCAGTAAATAACTGAAGATAAACAAAGATTTCAAAACAGAAACAAAAATTGTTTTAGATCAGGTAAGTTTTCTAAAGGCTACTCTAAAGGGGTCATGACCTTCAGAATAAAAGTCACTTCAGAAATGCTAAATTAGAATAAAAACAAGCCTACCGATTGCTGTAGAAGTCTCCTTTGCTTTCGCCTTTTCTTTCTCTTTCTGCTTCTCTCGCTCCTTCTCCTTTTTGTTCAGGTTGGCTTTGAGCTGGGCGATCAACTCCTCAGGATAGACGCTCCTCTGCTCCCAAATGGTGAAGATCCTCTCCACAGACCGGCGAACTTTCCCATCTCTAACAAAGCACAACATGCACATCTCATCTTAACACACGCAGACAGCCAGCTGTTTCTCTCTGCAGCCACGGCTTTTCAAAGAGATGAGACAAACTGTGGATGGCGCCGCACAACTGAGCTGAGCGGAGACCGTGAACTCACTTGATGAGCTGAGCGGCATTAGGGAGGACGTCGGAGAAGGATGAACGAAACACGATGGCGTTTTTCCTTTTGCAGTTTTGTATCACATCGTTGGCAAGGAAGAAAAGATTCAAACGGCGATTGTTGTCAGCTGGGGGGAAAGAAAAACAGAAAACAAAAGTTAGAGGATGAATTATTTATAGAAAGAAAACAATCTTATGTAGCGCCTCTCAGGATAAAAATCACGAGGAGCTTCACAAGAACAAAAAGTTAATATACTTTTTTTTAATGATTTAATATTTTTTGGTTAAAATGAGGAGAAAAATAAATAATTGTGAATAGAAAATGTAAGGGAAAGAGAAAATGAATAGGAAAGAGGGAAATCCGTAGCCTAGTGAACTAGACCAAATTCTTGCTTTACAAAGTTTGGTCTAGGAACGCTCCACTGGAACCTCTGCAGCCCCAACAGCATTCTGGCTGGCCAATCACAGCTCTCTAGAGGGGTTTCAAACACATAAAGAGCTGTGATTGGTCCATAATGGTGGGCCAATCATAGTGCTTTATCTGCTTAGTGAACAAATCACAGAGCTTTATCCGCTTTGTGGGCCAATCAGGGCACTCTATATTAGGGCTGTAGCGAAGCGTCGATGACGTTGACGGCTCGATTCTAAAAATCCGTCGACGTCAGATCCGGTAGTCGACGCACCGCGCCCACTTGTTGCATCCCCAGGAGTTTGTAAATAGAGGAGGAATCTGCCTGTTTTTCCTCTAGTTCGCCCTCTTCTCCGCCTTCACTAACATCTCCACCAAATACCGAAGACCTGGAACAATGTCCATCCGCTACTAGATTCCTTTCCTGTTTTGCCCGCCTTCGTCTCCCGGCAACGGACAACAACTTCCGGGGTCAGATGCGCTGCTTTGTCTCTATCGCAGATGTAGAACATCACCGTGAGCGTTTCTCCCTTCATAAAGGAGCTTCTTTCAGACACGAGGAGAGCTGTTTTGGTGGTAGCAGTCTCTCCTCCGTGCTGGTCTGTTTGCTGCTGGGTGTTTTTGGTTTATTTAAACTTGGTAACTTGAACTTAACGTTGGTAAAGCTACTGTTAGCATTTCACTAACAGCTTCTTGGGTTTGGATAAGCTGAAACGTTTTGGTTTAGAGTTCACCGTTTTTGTGGTGCAGATCTCCCTTTTATTACATTTAGAGTGTTGTGGGTTTTCGGTTTAGTTTAAAATATCACCTTGAGTTTGGTTTAACCGCCCAGTTTAGAGTTTGGACCTTTGGAGATCCTTATTTTGGTCCAGAACCCAGTAATCTTTGCCCAGTAAGGCTGGGGGTAAACGATTATTTTTAAAACGATTATTCTGACGATTATTTTATCGAATAGTCGACTATTCTAATGACTATTTAGAAAATGAATCTAATGATTATTTTTCTATTGCACAATTAACAAAAAACAGAAAATCTCAAATAAATTCATCAAAAAAATTGATAAATTCTTACTGAGAGGATAAACACTACGGGCCTTCCATTTTGTATAACACTGCTTTAATTGTGTTGGTTGGTTATGTTATGGTGACGTGTAGAACTTGGGAGTGCAGGCTGCTGCCTGAGAGGTGGTAGAAGATGGAGTGTCTCCATGCTGCTTTGTTTTGGTCACTTATGTGCGTGAGGGGAGTGGTGTTACGACTCTTCCTGGGGAGTTTGGCTCGTGTGTAAAAAGGAAGGGACAATAACGGGATTTAAAAGTTAAAATGATGATCAGGTTTATTTACAACAACAAAAATCATAAATCTTTCCATCCACAGGTTGGGAATAATAAAACTAATTCTGTC